GAGTATCCCCATCCCAGAGAATCCCCTTCTCAGAGAATTCCCTTCCCGGAACATCCCCTTCCCGGAGAACTCCCTTCCCCAAGCATTCCCTTCCCCGATAATCCTCTTCCCGGAGCATTCCCTTCCCGCAGAATCCCCTTCTCAGAGCATCCCCTTCCCGGAGCATTCCCTTTCCAAAACATCCGCTTCCCGCAGAATCCCTTCCTCAGAGCATCCCCATCCCAGAGAATCCCCTTCTCAGAGAATTCCCTTCTCAGAGCATTCCCTTCCCGGAACATTTCCATCCCCGATAATCCCCTTCCCAGAACATCCCCTTCCCGCAGAATCCCTTTCTCAGAGTATTCCCTTCCCGGAGAATCCCCTTTGATTCTTTGATATCCCTTTGATATCAAACCTTTATCCCCTCCCAGGGACCCCGATGTGAGGCCACAGCAGGGCTGGCTCGGCCCTGGGAGCACTGGGGAGGTGACAGAGGGACCCCCAACCCACCCAAATGTCCTGGGAATCACCACTGGAAATGTGCAGGGCCCAATTCTCACCTGAGGCCGAGTGGTTGAGGGTTTCAACAGCTGCTGTTTGCACCAGAGGAGGCCCTGAGTGTGCAGGTATTTTATATATATATATTTATATATATATGTGTGTGTGTGTATAGATATATTACATAAATATATAGGTATGAAATAATTTAAGAACCATCTGAGACAGCATGCTGTGCTCCGGGGTGGGGCTGGAGGGCAGCAGCCGCCCCTGCTCGCCCTGCCCCACCAGCTTCGATTCACAAATGGAAACAGAGTCTGGAACTGAATTAAATTAAAAACCGCACACACGCACACGCACACACGACACGGGGCAGAGGCTGGACGAGTCCCTGAAGAGATCGGATCGACTGAAGCCACAGAGCTGGGAGGTCAGGGGATGGAGCCAGCGCGGGGGTGTGGTTTGTGCCGCTGCTGGCCGCGCCCAGCCCTGCGGGGACAGCGGGGACATTGGGGACAGCGGGCGGTGTCACAGCCCCGCGCTGCGGCCGCAGGCTGGTGGCACCCGTGTGTCCTGCTGTGTCCGTTTGTCGTGGCCCTGCTGCCTCCACCTGCTTTGCTTTTGCTCTATCCCAGGACTTTTTGCCACCAAGGGGAAAATCCGCTTTTGGCGTTTTCCAAAGGGGAAAATGCCACTTTTTTTGCCTGAAAGGGAAAATCCTGCCTGAAAGGGAAACTCCTGCCTGAAAAGGAAACTCCTGCCCCAATGAACCCCTCTCCTCTCCCTGCTGGGAGTTCTCCCACAGCCAGCTTTGGTCCAGCTCAATCCATCCCACCAAATGAAGACCCCTGGAGATGATCTCCTTCTTGGGGACTTCAGCACAACCTTCAAAAAACCACCCAAAAAACCCATCCAAAACCCTTTAGAAAAAGCCAGAAATCACTGGTGCCTTCCAAAACTCCTCCTTGCTCCCCACCCCACCCTTCCCAAACATCCCGGAGGGATCCCAGATCCAAGAGGCTGCCGTGGAGGGGCTGCAGCTGAACCGAGCACGGAGAAGGCTCCGGACCCTCACCCCCTTTGTGTCCCTCTCCTCGTCGGGAAACCAAAACTCCCCGGGGGCTGTGGGATCAGCTGGGGAGCAGCACGTGCTCCAGCAAGTAGCTGATGGAGTCCCAGTGCTTCCAGAGGAAGAAGAGGAAGAGGACGAGCAGGGCGGTGCTGAGGATGCGCATGCGGGTCTTCATGAGCGGCGTGATGAAGTTGGCGATGGTGGAGACGAAGACGAGCAGCACGGCCATCAGGGCCAGGATGACGTTGATGAACTTGCCCAGCAGGGCCCGGGCGTTGGCGTTCTCCACCCCTTCCAGCTGCACCACCTGCTGCTGCTGCTGCTGCAGCTCCAGCTTGGTCACCCGCGTCAGGCACGACTCCACGGCCTCCTGCCAGGGGACAACGGGGACAGAGGCTCCAGGAGTGTCCCTGAGGCCTCCTGCCAGGGGACAACAGGGACAGAGGCTCCAGGGGTGTCCCTGAGGCCTCCTGCCAGGGAACAACGGGGACAGAGGCTCCAGGTGTGACCCTGAGGCCTCCTGCTATGGGACAGCAATGGCAGTGGCTCCAGGGGTGTCCCTGAGGCCTCCTGCCAGGGGACAGTGGGGACAGAGGCTCCAGGGGTGTCCCTGAGGCCTCCTGCTATGGGACAGCAATGGCAGTGGCTCCAGGGATGTCCCTGAGGCCTCCTGCCAGGGGACAACGGGGACAGAGGCTCCAGGGGTGTCCCTGAGGCCTCTTGCCCGGGAACAATGGGGACAGAGACTCCAGGAGTGTCCCTGAGGCCTCCTGCCAGGGGATAATGGGGACAGAGGCTCCAGGGGTGTCCCTGAGGCCTCCTGCCAGGGGACAATGGGGACAGAGGATCCAGGGATGTCCCTGAGGCCTCCTGCCAGGGGACAACGGGGACAGAGGCTCCAGGGATGTCCCTGAGACCTCCTGCCAGGGGATAATGGGGACAGAGGCTCCAGGGGTGTCCCTGAGGCCTCCTGCCAGGGGACAGTGGGGACAGAGGCTCCAGGGATGTCCCTGAGGCCTCCTGCCAGGGGACAATGGGAACAGAGACTCCAGGGGTGTCCCCCCTGAGGCCTCCTGCCAGGGGACAACGGGGACAGAGGCTCTAGGAGTGTCCCCCCTGAGGCCGCCTGCCAGGGGACAATGGGGACAGAGGCTCCAGGAGTGTCCCCCCTGAGGCCGCCTGCCAGGGGACAGTGGGGACAGAGGCTCCAGGGATGTCCCCCCTGAGGCCTCCTGCTATGGGACAATGGGGACAGAGGCTCCAGGAGTGTCCCTGAGGCCTCCTGCCAGGGGACAATGGGGACAGAGGATCCAGGGGTGTCCCTGAGGCCTCCTGCCAAGGGACAGCGGTGGCAGCGGCTACAGGGATGTCCCCTGAGGGATTTGGGGGTTTTGCTGCTGCTGCTGCTGGGGGGGTTTTGTTCTGGTTTCTGCTGGGGGATGGCCCATGTGTGGCTTGTCACAGCCTGGTGCTGTGGTCACACACAGGGGACTCGCTGTGTGATGCTGTGACAGGACAAGGAGGGATGGAGGGCAGGGACAGAGGAGATTCCTCTCTGTGAGGGTGGGGAGGACCTGGGATGGAATTCCCAGAGAAGCCGTGGCTGCCCCCTCCTTGGAGCACCCTGTGACAGCGGAAGGTGTCCCTGCCCTGCCATGGGTGGTTTTTCATGTTCCTTCCCGCCCACGCCAGTCTGGGATTCCCTGTTTTTGGGGACTTGGCTCAGCCACCTTCCCCTTGCTGTGACAGCAGCACAGGGAGAGCCTCACCTGGAGGGTGCTGGAGAAGGGATCCCACTGCCCCACCCTCCTTCCCAGCCCAGCCTCTGCCCCTCACCCCTGCCTGGGGGGAGCAGAGCGGGCTGAGCCCTCCCACAGCCCTACCTGGATGTCCCGAGCCCTCTCGTAGGACTGGTAGGCCACCTTCTCCTCCATGCTGGCCAGCTCCTGCTTCAGGTTGGTCATCTCGTTCTGGTGCAGCTCCGTCAGGTCGTTCAGCTGCTCCTCCAGGCGCTCGTACCTGCACAGGGCAGCGGGGCTGGGACACATCCCCGAGACCCCCCTGGTACTGGGGACAC